TAGAATTAGAAATTCAGTTTCTCAGTCACATCAGCTATATTTCTGGTGTTTCACTCTCACAGTTGGCTTGTAGGTACCATATTGGGCAGTGCTGCTGTATGAACTGGAGCTCTGTAGATGTGACTGACTTTACTAAAGTTCTCAAATCTCAGTTAGATTTTACATTGTTTATTTCACTTTGGTCCTCCACATGAGATAAACGAATTTCCTTTGCTTTGATCTACAAAGAATTTTCCAAGGAAAAACTCCCAGCTTTCCTGACAACTGGACAGCAGATTGCTTCCATTTCAGTAATCCGAATTTACTTTGTCTAAGAGTTGCTACACATTCTGGGAAATAAATACGTCTCTAAGAGTGGAGGAAGGATGACCAAAATAGACTGCTTTTAAAAAGCTGAAAAATCGATTCCTGGTAGTAATGCAATCTGGAGTACATGAAAGCATTAGCACAGGGGAGCCCACAGCGAGGTCAGGATCTATTCTGAGCCATGAAGAATCAAGCTCCATGTGACTTTGGTGCATTACCAAGAGCAAACTATGATTCCACGCAAGGGTAAACCCATCAACTTAGGGTGAAAAGCATTCTAGGTTTCACCTCATACAGTTGGGATCTGCTAGCAGAAGTGAGTAAGAGCATGGAGCAATGACCCAGGATACTCTACCTCAAATTTTTTTTCTTAAGAATTCATCACAGAATGAATAACAGAGTATTTCTCATCTTCTTCTTAGTTGAGCAATACAATAGGAACTTTTCACAGCTATTCCTTGCCTTTCTAGGGGATCTTTTGAAAGAATCTCTTGCCTTCAGTCAGATTGGATTTTTTGAACGAATACGTACCTGGCATTCACCATGCTTCAGACATTGTTCTAAGCTTATTTTTTTTCTCTTTTTTCACCTTTCTTTCTCTCTTTTTCTCTTTCTTTCTCTTTCTCTCTTTCTTTTTCTCTCTCTCTTTCTTCCTTTCTTTTTTTGGATAGAGTCTCACTCTGTTGCCCAGGCTGGCGTGCAGTGGCAGGAGAAGAGAATACCAATAAATTACAAAGCATTTGTCTAATCAGAAAAAGGTCTCCTGAGGAACTTTTTTTCATCTTTCCCAACCTTTTACTGCTTAATCTGGAATACTGGTTTTTCTAAAGCTGCCTTAAATTAAAGCAATGTCTTTCTTCTCCTAGCATCAAGCCCCTGGGGGATTAGAAGTGCATTTTTTTTTTTTAATTTTTGTATCCCTCACAGACCCTAGCATGATTTTTTTTTTTTTTTTTTGCCTTCTAGGCACTCAGTAAATATTAACCTAATTTGACTATAAATATAATATATTGCAAAACGCATTGCAGTGGGTTTCAAAAAACTTGAGTTTCAAACTTGGTTTTATCACCAATTAACAGTTTACATTTGGGCAATTTATATAACCTCTGTGAGTCTTTACTGTCTCATCTGTAATTGGATGAGATAATCTCTGAGGCCTCATGATGCTTACGGAATAGGCTATTCTTTGCTCTGAATTTATGTGCACAAAAGGTTTTTAAACAAGTCCCTAAAGGGCATTTCATATATTCTGAGATCACTCCTGGTAAAGACGCCCTGCTGAAAGAGGGTGGAAGGAGCATCCCACTACCTGAGGCAGTTGAAGCCCCTGAGTTGTGCTGTCTTAGGGAAGGTGATTGATGGTAAAGTAGAGAATACTGATAAATTACAAAGCATTCATCTAATCAATCGACTCTTGGAGTTAAGTCTTGGTGTAAAATAATACATTAATAATTAGTGGAAAAGCTCTGAAATTGTTGCTTCAATTTTCAAAACAGTTATTTTTCAGCAGGTAACACACGCACAGTGGGGGGATCACCTGAGGTCAGGAGTTTGAGACCAGCCTGGCCTACTTGGTGAAACCCCATCCTACTAAAATACAGAAATTAGCTGGGTGTGGTGGCATACACCTCTAATCCCAGCTATGCAGGAGGTTGAGGCATGAGTATCACTTAAACCCAGGAGGCAGAGGTTGCAGTGAGCTGAGATTGTGCCATTGCGCTCCAGCCTGGGCGACAAGAGCAAAACTCCGTCTCCAAAAAATAAAAAACTAAAAAAAATTCCAAAAACTTTTATTGGAAATACTGGTTTTGTCTTTTTTTTTTTTTTCAAGTTGTTTGGATAAAAAGCTTATTTCCTTTTTAAAGTAGGCACGGAGTGGAAATATTGGTTGTTCTGTCTGATATTACATGAAGGTCAGATGCCCTCCATGCAGCCATGAGGTCAGATGACAGTTTGATGCTGAACCAGCAAACAAGGTAAGGGTGAAATTGTCATCTGCATTGTACAGAATGGGAAGCCAAGGTCTTGAATCAGGATATAATTTAGACAAGGTAACCTAGAGGGATGCTGGAGGAACCGAGTTTGGAAGGCCAGCTAGCCTGACTGCCCGCTCACTGTGGACATGATCTTTCTTGTCTTCCTGCTCAGCTTAGTTTATTTGAAAGGGAAGCACACTGCGGTTCTGGGGTCAGGCCAGGCCCACCTGGTGGCTCAGCACCTGCCTGCAAAGGTAAGAAAGCCTCTCCCATCAATGATAGACTGGACAGGGAAAATGTGGCACATATACACCATGGAATATTATGCAGCCATCAAAAATGATGAGTTTGTGTCCTTTGTAGGGACATGGATGAACCTGGAAACCATCATTCTCAGCAAACTGACAGAAGAGCAGATGATCAAACACCGCATGTTCTCACTCATAGGTGGGTGTTGAACAATGAGAACACATGGACACAGGGAGGGGAGCACTACACACTGGGGTCAGTTGAGGAGTAATAGGGGAGGGACAGTGGGGGGTGGGGAGTTGGGGAGAGATAGCAAGGGGAGAGATGCCAGATGTAGGTGATGGGGAGGAAGGCAGCAAATCACTGCCACGTGTGTACCTATGTAACAATCCTGCATGTTCTTCATATGTACCCCAAAACCTAAAATGCAATAAAAAAAATACAGGAAAAAAAAAAAAAGGAAACCTCTCCAGCTGCGGCTTGTGATGGTGTCAGGGGAGAGTTAAGTTCTCTTTGGAAAAGAACCCATTGGGATCTTTGTTCCCAAACAGGTCCCATTTCTTCATGTTTATTGAATTCTCTCAATCACACAATTGATCACTGTGTCCCAAGAAGGGAGACTGGCTAAACCAAGAACATGCAAAGTAGAACTTCATGTACTCTTGGTAAGAGAACCAAAAGGAAGTTAACTTTTTACCCCTTTTATTCTCAAAGCTATCAAAAGAATTATGAAATCTGTTTGAGTGCAAATGTGGAGGTTCTTCACAAAAGTGGTCACAATGAACTAATTTGCGGCTCTTTTGCACCTTGACATTCACTTTGTGCAGAAACGTGCAGGATGATTTTTCTCCCCTGTGTGTGGCTCTGCAGGCCATCGGGGACCCTGCTCCTTTCTCCCTGCAGGCCTCCTCTGCCACTTGCTACTCCTTTGTACTGGCTCCACCTTGCAGAGCCTGAGGAACCCAACTACAATGCAGGTATTGGTATCTAAATAAGAGGCTCCGAAAACAGTTCGAGAAGGGAAGTTTTGAGGCTGGGATTCTGGAGAAAGGCATTCATCTCCCAATAGGCCCGAGCTCACTTCCTTCTCCACTATAGAACTGCCTCCATGCGTTCGAGAACATTTTGTCCTTATTGTGAATGCTCCCAACTGTCTTGCTCCAATCAACACATTTCTTTAATTCCTTTAAAACCAACTTGTTCGAGCTGTCTACGATGCCATGAGGTTCCAATTTCCTCTGATTAATTGGGAGGCTCAGAAATGTGTGAGTATATTTTAGAAACTGTACTGTGGGTGATTGTAGCAAGTCCACTTATTTAATGTTTAATGATGATCTATTTTCTACTCTCAAGATAGATTGGGGGAAGGGGCCCTTTGATGAGAACATATGTTCTCATCTCTAGTTCTTTATGGCGTGTGTTGCTGACCTACTTGCCCCAACTCCCTACCCTGTTCCCCCCACCGTCAGCCAAATAAGAACAATAAAGCTACAACATGGGAGAAGTATTGTTCTTCAGACATGTAGCAAAAGGAAGCACCGCTAAAATTATCCAGGCAACTTGGATCCCAGGCTCCCTTTGGAAAGGAAAGCTTTTGGGATATGTGCCATGATAATTTATTACAGGTGGCAAAAAGACTTGTTATATAACACACTGCTGACATTTCTGCATCCTTGTTTTGCAGTAATGCTAAAGGCCAGCACATTCCAGTCAACCTAGCCTGGGCTTGGGTGTTTCTCCGTCTCCTTAGCTACCCATTTTCTGTTTGGCCTCTAAATCCCAATCTGATCACTCTATTTTGTATCTCATCATTTCATTGTCAGATACAACCTTGTTTCAAAGTCTGGGACTGTCATATGAACCTTTTCCAATTTCCCCATGATAGTTCATTGACTCATCTACTCAATAAATAAATATGTATTTGTAATTTAGGGGTAAGGTGTTGTGTGTTCAAGAATGAATAAGACAGACGGATCCCCTCCTTTCCTTTGGAGTATCTTGTTAACCTAGGAAATAATCTTCGAACAAAAATTGTGAATGTGACTAGTGTCATGCTGATATGTAGGGAGCTTTGGGAACAAATTAGAAGAGACCTAACCTAGACTGCATATGAGTCAAGAAAGGCATCCCAAACAATGTGCCATTTAACTGGAGACCTGAAGGGAAAGAATGTGCAAGGAAATGATTTCAGGTACTGAGGAATAACATGTGTGAAAGTTCTGGGGTAGAAAGGGGTATGGTGTGTTCTACCAAAGAGAAGATCAGTGTGGCTATGGCATAATCAAAGGTCATATGAATTTGGCATTTTATGTACCTGGCAATGTTCAAAGCAGTTTAATTTATTTAACCTTCATAACAAGTCTACGATGAGAAAACTGAGAACTCAGAGAAGTTAAGTAACTTGCCCAAGGTCACAGAGCTAGGAAATTCCACATCTGGGCTGTGAGCCAAGACAATCTGGTTCCAACCCTGTCCTCCGAATGCAGCACTAAACTGCAGAGAGAGTACAGGGAGAGCAGATGAGGACCACATCACAGAAATCAGGGAAAGAAAAGGAAAATCATTTAAATAAAACATCTTGGATAGCACTGAAAGGGAAATACAGCATCCAGGTCTTTTAGATACTGACTTCTATTTTTTTCTTCAAATGGAAAATTAGAGAAACCCACCAAGAGACTAGCTTTAGGTTAGGCACTGTGAGAAAAAAAAAGAAGCAGTCAAATTCATCCTCAAAGGGTTAAGGACGGAAGAGGTTAGTGTGTGGTAAAGAGCTGAAGGATTCATGGAGCAGGCTGCACTTGAGGTGGCCTTCTAGAGATAATTAGGATCCACTGTCTATTTCTTTTGCATTCTTTCTTTTTTCAGCGTATACTTGTTATGTACCCTCTATATGCCTGGTTCTCTGCTAGGAGTTGATGGCAAAGCAGTGAATTGGACAAATAAAATAGAAGCCAGCATCCACAAGGGCACAGTAGTGGGTAAGTCTGTGATCATGGGCAATATTGAAGAAGATAGTCTGGTTGGCACCCAAGGGCCATGTTGAGAATGAATGGGGTTAAGCTTTGGGAATGGGTGATGAGGGTAGGGGGATAAAGCATTTGATTGCTCAAATTTCTAACTATCAGAATCAAGAATGGGAATTTCTGGCCTGATACAGTGGCTCATATCAGTAATCCCAGCACTTTGGGAGGCTGAGATGGGAGGATTGCTTGAACCTAGGAGTTTGGGATCAGCCTGGGCAATACAGCAAGACCCTATCTTTAAAAAATAAAGAATGGGGATTTTTTTTCTTAAATAGGCAATGGAAAACCATTGCTAATTTTTGAGTTGGAAAAAAAATAAGAGAATTTCTGGCATGATTTGCCTGGCATCTGTGCACAGGCTACGCTAAACATTAGTATTAGTCCTGTGGCAAGCCAGTTAGAAGGAGGCTCAAGGAACAGAAAAGTAGGGTGAAATACTATTTACTCTTTTTTTCACTTGTCCTGAATATGCGTTATAATGAAACTGCTATGGATTACTAGGTTCTCTCATTCTTGAAGAGCAAGATCAAACTAGCTTCTCTTGGTTTCTGACCAGTTTTATTAACCAAAAACTGCCTTCAACTTGGCACCTCTTCAGCCAGAAACAAACATATTATTCACTCTGGACTACCATGAAAAGGGTAAGAGAAATGAATGTAATTTAAGAAGACCGTCCTTAATTAAAGGAGCCACTTGGTAAATTCCAATGGCTGCCTTGTTTTGGCTGAACCTTCTTTTCCTGTAAACTTTTCTCTTCGTTTTTCATTTAATACACTTTCCCACATTGTCCTGTTGGAATGTTCACCACATTTAGGTTTTACCTGGTAAATTTTGATTTAATCTTCGGCGGATGCTGCTTCAGGTTGACTGTAATTCGGGGACTGGCATGTACATTGTATCTTGGCGCCAGAGCATGTGGGGCAGTGGATGGCTCTGGAGCACTGAATGCACCCCGTTGTGTGGCTCCAAGTTCTCAGGATGCCTGGGCTGTGCCCTGGCATTTCAGTGAAGCCAGAAGGGCAAATGGAATGGATTTCTTTTTCTTTTCCTGGCATTTGCAATTTAGGACCTACTTTCTCTGAGTAGCCCCCTGAGTGGGTTTTTCTCTACTCCACATGTATATTTTCACTGTTAACCTCACATTATGCACTTTGCTGATTGATAATATTTAATGTGTGGGTAGAGGTGCTGTGGCGATGAGTGCTTCCTACAGTCAAACAAATCAAAGCAAGAATGATTGTGCCGTTTTAGTGAACAAGCTGCTTTGCCCATTCTACCTCTTGTAGAGCTAAGAAGATGCAAGCATGCATGTGTACACACACACACACACACACACGCACAGTGTTTGTCCTCAAGGATTTTTTTTAATAGCATACCAGAGCGCTAGAATTGGCAGGGATTTTATAAATGATAAAGTTTATTCCCATTATTTATAGACAAGGAAATTGAGACCTAGACAGGAGAGAGGCATGAATGCCAAATGCCACAAAGTGAGCAGGGAGTGCAGAGATCAGAATACAGATTCATATTCACACTGTGGCCTAGGGTTCTCTGTACACCTCACCACCTAAAATTAATGCACTTTTAGAAAGAAGGAACTATGGACTTGTGAGATTGAAAACTTGTAGTGTTGTATTTTAAAAGCAATGAATTTAGAAGAGTTTCACATATATATGT